TTAGTAATTTTATTGTTACATAGGAGACAATTATTTAAAATTCTGAGAAGAAAATTATTTATAATTTTTAGAACTATAAGGAACAATCCATATTTTAAATAATTTTAGGGAGTGTATTTATAATTCACTCTAAATACATTAGCTAGAGAAAAAAGACTACATCTGTAAATAACACCAAAAAGAAGGGCAAAATTCAAAAATGAAAATACAAACCTTTCTAAGCACCAAGCGGCTCTTATGTATAAAAATATATATATCATAAAATTCTATTTATATTGACATACATACCTTCACTTAATTATTTTATTATCATAGATTTATAATTGTTGGCTACTTTAGGAAGATGGTTAAAAATTATCTTTCAGCTTTTAACTTATTTTGAGTCATATCATTTCTCACATTTTTTTTTTCAAAAAAAGCCATAAAAAACTAAAAAATTAATTTTTATCTATCTTCCCAATATATGTTATTTTTTATTTGTGTTATATTTAAATGTTAATAACAATACTACAATCCCATAAATAACAATCCAAAAAATACTAATGAATTTAACATCAATGGTTTAGATTTAAGGCAGCCCATGTCAATCAAAGATTTGATATTTCTGTTTTTAATTTTTGTTGGGTTTCTTTTTTGGGGCCGTAGAATTACTGAAATGTTAAAAAATAATTTATTTTAATTATTTATTATTGATTGAACTTATTTTTTGTATTTTAATTATTTATTATTGATTGAACTTATTTTTTGTATACTAAAATTATGATTCCAATTGCATCGGCTTAGTTTTGGTATATGGTTAGTTTGATTTTGGATCAAAAAATTTGAAACCGATCATAATTGAATTTGTTCTAAATTTAGTGCAACCTGAATTAAATCAACCCATGCACCTCCAATTGTGTTACGTGTATATAAGAACCAAACACAGAAAATACAAATATTAAATAAAACATATTCACATTTATAATTGCAATTATACGTTAAATTCTTTCGGTACATCTAAACTTTTTTATGCAACTAGTTTAAATATTTTTCAATTATAAGATTTTATTACATTACATTTTTAACGTTCCAAGAGATTCATAATTCGAATTGTTTAAAAAAATTTCATTGTAATCTAATTTATTAGATCCTAATATCTAGTATGAAAAAGAAAGAAAAAAATGCAACCGATTCTCTTGCGAGGAAAGCAAAAAAAGTGAGTGGCAGTAGACTCGGGGAAGACCTGGCTGGCGAATCAGCGTCCAAAGTCATGCAAAAAGCAAATTATTTCCGTAGAAACCTCCCTACTCTTATTTGTCTCCTTCTCATCACTCTCTTTTCGTCCTACTTTCTTTACCTCCTCACGAAACTTCCCTCTATGCATTGTGAAGAAAAATAGAAAATGGAGGTGCCTATAATATAGGCCATTTTCGAGTGGTGTATAATTAAGGATGACAACTGGTGGATTTTTTCGGATTTTATAGGTGAATTTGTTATTTTAAATTTAATTATTTTAGTAATTTAATTTCGTACTTATTCTGATCATAACATTTTGACTTATCTAATCTTATATTAATCTTATAATTCTCTATTGTTTTTTTTTATTATTATTAGAATCAAGTTGAGTCAAATATAAATATAATTAGATCGAGTGATTTTATTATTCCTACGTATAAAAAAATGAATTCGGCTTCTTTTATATTCAAACTAGGTGGTGGTATATCCATGCATGCGCATATAAATGTTTTATTTAAAAAGTAAGATTGTAAATTGTATTATTGAATTCAAAATTTAGAATCAAAGGTAGAGAGATTTGAAAGGGAAAAAATCTAAATTTAAGACATAACTGCCCACCAAATTGCTCTAGGGATGTTAGGAGAGAATCAAAAAAAAAAAAAAAAAAAGATACATAAACACCAAGTTGAGCCTTCTCTTTAATAGTATAGATAGATAAATATATATGAATTTGAAAATTTGAGGAGTTCGTGGGGTTCACCATAAACCTTATTTTGATAATCTAAATCGTTTAATTTATAAGCTTCCTATATATAAATATGAAAAATGCTAGAGGTCTCAAATTTTCTATCAAATAAATGACCAAATGTCTCACATGGGTGTGGGGTCCACAAAATTACGGACCCCACACCCATGTGAGACATTTGGTCATTTGTTTGATAGAAAATTTGGTGTCCCTAACATTACCTTATAAATATATCATGGAAATGAGACCCATGCCGCAATAGGTCCCACAACCTCTTAAATTCTCTTAATATGAACTCGTGAAAAATCAAATCCTAATGAAATTCTTCTTAGAAAGAAGAAAGAATATCATTTGTCTTATTGTACATTTTTCTATTTATATATATCACTAAAACAATAAATAAATAAATTGTTGTTCATATTATAACATTTTATGTCTTATGGTTCAAATATAATCTGAAATCTTTTATATGATTTTGGACCAAAATATAACCATTAATTACTGGTGTAAAATGATTGTAATACTTTTAAATCTTATACTTTTTTTGGTTATTTACTTTATGTCTCCTCTCTTATACACATAATTTATATTACTTAATGTTAATGTTAATTAAATCATAATTAATCATAAATCCTCAATTATATTGTAATTCTTATTTAATTATATTTGAGATCAGGTTGCTTTTATTTTTTTAGTTCTTTGATTTGGTTTAAAGTTTTCAAATCATCAAACCCGATAGAATTATGTTGGTTCCTAAACAAACACTGAACCCACACACACATATATATATATATATATATATAACTTTATTTATATTAACATAATCTCACCTAATTATTCTATTACAATGAAGTTGATTGCACTATGCTATTTATAATTGTTGGTTATTTTATTCCTTATTTGTGTTATATTTAAATGTTAAAGATTTATTTATTATTGATTGAATTTATTTTTTGTATAGTAAAATTAAGATTCCAATTGCATTGGTTTAGTTTTGGTATATGATTGGTTTGGTTTTGTATCAAAAAGTTTGAAATCAGTCATAATTGAGTTGATTGTAAATTTAGTGCAACTCAAATTAAACCGACCCATGCACCCTAGTTATGTTACATGTACAGAAATAACCAAACACATAATGCACAAATACTAGATAAAAAATGTTCACATTTATAATTACGAATATGTGTTTAATTCTTTTTGTGCACCTAAACCTTTTGAGAGAATATCAAAAAAGGGGAAATAAAAAATAATTGTAAATTAATGAAAGTATAAGTGATTTATACACTAGATTGGTGCAAATAAGTGTTGCATTTTCATAATTTTGTGATTATTTTTTTAACCTTCCACGTTTTTGATATTTCTCCAATTTTGTATGCAACTATTTTTAACATTTTTCAATTATAAGATTTTGTTAGTACATTTTTCACTATTATAGTTTCACATTTTTTTTTCAAAATTTATGTGGTAATCTTCAGACAAATTCACTTGATGCCCTACTTAATTTTTACTGGTTAAAGCTGTGAGACATGACATTTTTTTGTTAGCATTTTAGAAAATAATTTGACAAGTATCAAGTGATAAATAGTGTGAATTATCAAATAATCACTCATTTCAGGTCTTGTTTGGCAAGTGTCTGTTTTATTTTAAAAATCAAAAAATTATTAAAACAATAAAAAAGTCTATAATTTATACAAAAAAATTAAAAATTATTTTTTCTCTCTACTTTTTACATATATTTTTATAAAAAATCAAAAATTCATTTAAAACATATTAATTTTTTTACCTTATATTTTTGCCAAAAAATTATTAAAATAACATATTTCCAAATGAGGCCTCGGTTACTTGCCAAAATGTTGGCTACCAAAAAATATTGAGACATATTTTGACAATTGAGTTAAAAATTAACTTTTTAATCTTTTTGAATTATATTACCTCATTATTTTTTTCACACGTATTTCAAAAAAAAAAAACTAAAAATTACCTTTTGACCTACCCAAAACAAGTGACTTCTCATAAATTTGTCCCACAAAAATGTTAGAGATCTTAAAAATTCTATCAAAAGTTTTACCAAATGTCTCACATGGTGTGGGACTCACATGGGACTCACATGTGTGGGTCTCACACCCATTTGAGACATTTGATAAAACTTTTAGTAGAATATTTGGGATCTCTAGCATTACTCTTTATCCCAAAACCACGGCAATATTTTTTTCAAAATGTGGCATGACTTCGTTGGTTAGTTTGCAAACGAAAGCAAACAAGTAACAATTGACGTCAGATCTGTGCCGCGTCGACGCACACGATTGCGCCACGTAATGGGGAGAAAACGAAACGCAAATTAACAGTTGATTATTTTATTATTTTAATTTTTTTTAAAAAATATATTAAAAATAGAAAGATAATTAGCTTGTTTGGTTTAAGTTATCTCGATACACTTTGCAAAAAATTAAATTTTTTTTATTTTTCATATATTTTATTTTATTAAAATTTTTAAATATTTTAAATATTTTTTTATAAATTTTAGATACACCTCACATAAATACACTTAAAAAAATATATTTATAAAAAAAATCTTTAAAAAATTCATGAAATATCAAAAATATAAAAAAATTAAAATAAAAATTCAATATATTTTTTATATTCTTATATATTTATTAATTTTTAAAATATTTTTTATAAATAATTTATTTTTTGGATATATCTAAGTAAAAAAAGTAAAAAAAAAAAATAGATTAAAATTTTAAAAATATTTACGAAAAATATAAAAAATAAAAAATTAATTTTTAAAAAATTAAATACAAAAAATTAAAACTAAACACACTAATTAATTGTAAAAATATCATCATTCCTATCATTTCTTTCTCTGTTATCTCCCTAAAAATTTTAAATACACTAGTAATCAACCGAACCGAGCTTTTAAAAAGCAGACAGTCACAAAAGCACTTATCTTTTCCTTTCTCTCTCTTCAATTCCATCTCTCTCTACAGGTCTTTGCTTCCTCAGGAAGCTTTCATCTTCTATTAATAGCTCACAATCCAAAAGCTCTCTCTCTCTCTCTCTAGAGCTCAGTAGAGCTCAGTTTGATTGGGAATGGCGATCTCAGCGAGAGAACACATAGAGGAAATTCGGAAAAAGAAGTTTAAGATCGGAGAAGAACCTGATCCCAAGAACGAAGATCTTCATCATGCTGTTAATTATCTATCCGCTGAACTCTATGCCAAAGATGTTCATTTTCTCATGGAACTCATTCAGGTATATATACCATCAATTTCTAATCTCTTTCATAAATATAAATACATTACACACATACATTTAGAAGAAAATTTTATCACAAAATTTCGTGAAATTAATCATAAAATGTGTAAGCTTGTCTTAAATTAACATAATAAAAAATATTCATAATTTTTTTTAGGAAAAGATTAAAAGGCGTGTACCTATGTACTTAATACTTATAAATGACATAATTTTATATTTTTTAAATCATAATTTAAAAAACGACAATGCTACGTAACTCAAATTTTGTGGCTCAAAAGTGACTCAAATGGCCAAAACGACGTCGTTTTGAGTACAAAACAACATAAAAATGGCCAAAACGACGTCGTTTTGGCCATTTGAGCCACTTTTGAGCCACAAAATTTGAGCTACGAGGCATTTTCCTTTAAAAAAATCATAACTAATAAGTCATAATTAAATAGCTTAAATGATGTCATAAGTAAAAAAGAAAATTTATTATAATTAAAGAAGAAATGGAATAATCAAGAGTGTATATGATATACAGGGTGTGTGTATAATAGAATTTTTTATTTTTGTAACATCATTATTATATTAATTTATGACAAAATTATTTATTTTATGATTGATATCATACGGGTAAAGTGTATGGTATGAATCCTTAATAGAGGTGCACACCATAGGCTTTTTCACATTTATATATGCCTATTGCATGCACATATATGTACTACGCATGCCTCTGTTTAGGCTCCTGGCTGGTTTGTCAATTTTCTTTGGATCCAAAATATATTAATTTTTTGTGGTTTAAAAAAAATATTAATCTTTTATTTTATTTTTTATTATTTTAAAATATTAGTTTTTTTTAAAAAAAAATTGAGAATTAAAATAATATAAATTTTTTATTTTACATTTCTTTAAAAAATACATTGTCACAAAAAATATAATTATTACAATTAATATTCTCAAAAAATATATTATTAAAGGGTAATTTTAAAAAATTAATATTTTTAAAATGCAGTAATTATATTACTAAAAAAAATTAGATTATCTAAAATGGACTATTATTTTAGGACAGAAGGAATATATTATAAATTATTAAATTATTAGTTTTTATAATTTTTTTTAATAAAAAATTTAAAAATTATTAAAATAGTCCATTGTTAAACAAATCTAGTTTAAATTGTAAAGAGATTTGTCTAAAATTTGAGTTGAGATTCAGTTTTATCCCAATTTTTTTAAAAAATTAGAGAAATTTGCAATTTGTACTCTAGACTCAACTTATTTAAATTTAATAAATATGGAAAGTTTATTTTTGGGCAAAAATTATTTTTAGATGGCTTTTCGTTTGGTTTTATTGAATTTTTTTTAATATTTCAATCTTTTTTTGGTACTTGTTAGATACATTTAAAAAAAAAAACACAAAAATACGAATAAAAAAATTTTAAAAAATGAACATTTTGAACAAAAATAAACACAAATTTTTGTTTTAATTTTCCTTTGTTTTTAGTGATTTAAAAAAATATTTGAGTCAATTTATTTTATTTCATTAAGTGCATCTAAAATGTATAAAAAAATAGGCTAGGCTTAGTGGATTGGATGGTACCGTTGCGCCTGTGGGGCTTATTATTGGTTCTATTTCGATAATTCGAACTGTTTAATCTATGGAGTACGTCGAGTACTTTATCTCTTTTTTAACGATCACGTTAATAAGATATCGATAATTATTTGATCAGATCAAATTTTTGTCAACAACTTATTTTGAAAATTATATTTATCGTTGACAGAAATCTAATTCAATCAAGTAACTATTAATATTCGATTAACATGATTGTTTATAGGGATAAAGTAATGATGAGTTTTATACATTGAACGATTCAGATCATTAAAATAGGATCTAAAGTGGGCCCTCACGAGCTCATCAATACTCGGACGGGTGAGAAGCCTAACCTATAAAAAATTGACTAAAATATGAAAAAAAATTCACTAAAAATAAACAAAAACTCATCAAACGCACTACTATTTGTTTAAATCAAATTTAAGTAAAATTTTGGTTAAACTCTCCGATCCTTTGTTTCTTTTCTTCATCAAATTTATTAAAAATTTGGTTAAAAACTCTCCAATCATTTCTTTGTTTTCTTTTCCATCAAGTCTTTTTAAAGAATTTCAAAATTATCCTACATTTTTTAAAAATCAATTTTTTAATGAACGAAAACCATTTCTAAATTCCATTAAATTTGACTAGTGAGAATTTTGCGAAACATTTGACTATAGATTAGGAATGGCAACGGGGCGGGGCCGGGGATTACACTCCCCGTCCCTGATCCCCGATGGCTGAAAAGTCCCCGTCTCTGCCCCCGATCCCTAGCGGGGGAACCCATCACCTCCCCATCCCCGTCCCTTAACAGGGATCGGGTTTCCCCGACCCCGAAAAATCCCCAAGCTTCAACACAAGAATAACAAATCAATATATATATCACTATGTTTTATCATCATCAACAAATACATATTTAAATTTAAAAAAATAAAAAATAAAATTTAATCACAGATTAGATCACGCACACACAGATCAGATCACACACACACACATATATTGCCATCTCCACACACAGATCAGATCTCTCTCTCACACACACACATATATTGCCATCTCCACACACAGATCAGATCTCTCTCTCACACACACACACAGACACAGAGACATATCCATCGTCTGACACAGATCTAAGCGACGCCGTCGGTGGGTTTGGTGGTGGTGACAAAGATCGAGATCTGGCGGTGGCGGTGGCGGTGGCGGTGACGGTGGGTTCGGTGGTGGTGACAGAGAGACAGACCTTGTGCGGCGGCAGTGGTGATGTCGTCGTCGGTGAGAGAGAGGAGGGGTCGGGGCCAGCGGTGGTGGTGATGTCACTGTCGGTGACTGCGAGAGAGAGAGTTGATAGAGAGAAGAACGAGAGAGTGAGAGAGAGTTGAGATGAGAGTGAGAGAGAGAGAGAGAGAGAGAGAGAGAGAGAGAGATAGATCTAAGTTAGAGAGTGAGTGTGAGAGCAACACAGTAAGTGATATATAAATCTAATACACTGGTTTGGTTTATTATAAATATAATATATGGTTTGGTTTATTATTATATATATATATATAAAGGGTATAAAAGTAATTTCACTTCGGGAAAATTCGGGGATGGGGCCGGGGCCGGGGCCAGGGCCGGAGAGGGCTTAAATACTGATAACCGTTCCCGGCCCGAAATAGATCGGGGATTGATTTTCAAATACCGTCTTCTCCCCGTCGGGGGTCTTTTTCGGGAAAAAATTGCTCAAATCGAGGTCGGGATCGAGGATCCCCGTCGGGTTGGTTTCAAATTGCCATCCCTACGGTAGATTGGATGAAATGATTGGGATACACTTTTAGTTATTTTTTTTTATTAGATTCAAAGATGGTCTTAAATTATAGATGTACTCAACTATTATTGTATTTTTTAAAATTACAAAAATTACAGAATATAATTACAAAAATTAATTTAAGTATATCAAACAATAAAATATATTATAATGTAATATAATTTAATTTAACTTGTGAGAAAACAATGAGTATTTTATAATAATATTATATATTTATTATATATAATTTAGGACAAATTACATTGACTTCTCTTGAATTTAGAAAAAATAATAAGTTTTATAGCTTTTACATAATTATATTTACCTTTATTTTAGTAAGTTTAAATGGAAGAAACTAATGTAGATTGTTTGAAAACATAAAAATAAAAGTAAGATATATATTTTCATTTAAAAGAAATGATAATATTTTTATATTCATTTTTTTATGAGTTAATTACCTAAAAGTCTTATTTATAAATATTATGATAATTTAGATCCCGTTTAAGATTTTTTGAATCAGTAAGTTCTATTTAATAAAATTGAGAATATTATTAATTTTGCATAGTAATTTTCAGATAATTATTTTATTAATTGATAATAAAAAAAAGTAGAGCATAAGATTAAATGTTTTTGCCATTTTATTTATTGGCTTGATTTAACTATCTAATAAAATTGAGGATATTATCAATTTTTCCTAGTTTCAAAGCTAAGAATATTATCAGTTTTTTCATTTTTTTTTGCGCATCAATATTCCATTATTATGCTCCTTTATAGATACAAAATTTTCAGTTTTGCACAAAAAAATAATTCAGTTTTTTCAACAATTTTAAAAAAAATTAATTTTTTTAAAAAAAAAAAAAAGTTTTTTTTTTTTTTGCACATAAATTTTTTTTTTTTACATAATTTTTTTTCGAATTTGAAAGTTTATATTTTAAAGTTTTTAAAATCCAAATAAATGTCAAATCATTATGTTCCTTTACAGATAATTATAAATGATGAACCATCATTGTTTGAATGTAATTCTGACTATTAAAAATTTAATATAACTTGAAAGTCTAAAAATCTTAGTTAACTTAATGGAGTATAAGTTTATAAATTAGGATTTTTGTGTAAATGTCTATTTTTTTTTTTTTTATCTATATAACTAATAAATTATTGGTAAAATAGAACTAAGGCCTTGTTCAGGAAATGGCTAATATAGCCAATTAATTAAAAAGTCATTACAAATTGTCACATCATTTTATTTTTCTGTATATCTTTTTGTAAAATGTTAAAAAGTCAATTAAAATAGTCAATTCTCATTAAACTCTTACGGGAGCTCAATATAATTAGGTTAAAAAAAATAAGATTTACCTTATTTTCTCTAAGGTACTATTTGGCATCCCTATATCAGCCTAGGAAGCACGGATACGGATACGATACGATACGGTGATACGACAAAATTTGAAAACCTAGGATACGGGTACGGCGGGAATACGTTCGTAAAAAATATTATTTTAACAATTTTTAGTAATGCAGTATGCATAAAAATAAAACTTAAACCAAAAGACAACTTGATAAAGAAGAGAGATTCCTACAAAACTAAGAGTCTTCAAGGTCAATAGCTTCAACTTGTTCCCCTTCATCAGTGAATATCACAAGACCTTAGCTAAAGCCAAGGCCAAAAAACCATTCTTAAATAAAAATTTTAGCAAATATACTTTTTTAAGTCATCAATGATAGCCTAGGAATCACGGATACGAATATGGTGATATGGGGATGTGGATATGGCGATATGTCAAAATTTGAAAAAGTATGATATGGGTACAGCGGGGATACATTCATAATTTTTTTTTTTTTTTGGTGATTTTAATAATGTAATATGCATGAAAATAAAACTTAAAGTAAATTAATAAATAAAGAGAGGGATTCCTATCAACCTAAAAGTGCTCAAACATTCATAAAACATCCAAAACTAAAAGCAAAAGCAAAAGCAAAAGTAAAAGTAAAAGCAAATGCAAATGCAAATGCAAATGCAAATGTAAATTAAACATCATCCTTACATGCCAACACCAAAAAAAGAATGAGAGCAGAGAGAAGAAACGTGAGAGAGTGAGAAAGCGAGAGAGAAGTGAGAGAGACAACAAGGATACATCAATTTGACAAATTCTATTACTTAAGCTCTCACTATATTCCTCTTATGAAAGAACTAAACAAAATATTATAAGTAATATGTAACTTCGAGTATTCGATTCTTCAAAATTAAGTATCCGATACTTCAAAATTAATAAAAAATTAATTAAGAAGTATCCGAGGAGTGTCGGTATCCGATAAGTATCCGATACGGATACGTCACCCTTTTTGAAGTACCCGTGCTTCATAGATATTAGCACACTTTTTTTAATTTTTTTTTTAATCTTTTTTGAGTCACATCACCTCTTTATTTTTTTGCATATCCTTTTCATAAAAAGTAAAAAAATATACTGATTTAGATCATTTCAAAAACCCTCTAAATCTCAAGAAAAATTAGTATAATTTACCTTATAATTTAAGATAAATTACAGTAAACTTTATTAAACTATGATTTATTAAACTAGGATTTATTTGCACTTTCTCTCTAAACTTCAACTCAACAATTAATTACCTCAAAAAGTATATTTTATTACACTTAACGCTTTCCATTAAGATTTCGTTAGAGATAAGCATATGACATACTTATTAATTTTTTTGGAACAATAATATCTTTATTTGGGTATCTCATTTATATTTTGTCTCATTTATCTGAGTGGAAAAGTGCTAACAGACTTACCATAAACCCTATTGGAAAGGAGTTAACTAACTATAATAGACCAATACTTTAAGGCGATTAATTGTTGAGTCTTAAAATTTAAGGAAATAAAGTGCAAATTCGTTATAATTTAAAAGGATTTATTATATTTTACCTTACAAAATTTATATATAGAGCAAATTATCTAATAGTTCTTATAATTTTTTTTAAAGTAATACTATTGAATCGGACTTAGCTATGTACATATTATTTAAAATTATCATGTTATGATTCATATTTATTTCACGTATAATATTATACTACACAAATTTACCAAGAATAGATAAGTCTGGATTCTCATACCGATTCACTTTTTGAATAAATTTTTATTTTCTGAGTGTTTTAGAATGCAGAGGACAATGAGTATGGGGAAGGGGTGCAACCATCGCTGGAGTTCGTGATAACGTCTCAGGACATTACGGCCACCGGGGCTTCTGTCACGTTGCTTGTATTCAACAACGAGAGGGGTTTTTCTGCTAAAAATGTGGAGTCCATTTGCAGTATTGGTCGCTCCACCAAGAAAGGCCATCGTAAACATGGTTATATTGGCGAGAAAGGTAATCAATCTATCTATCTACTTTTATCTCATTAAAATTACTTATTTTATGGTCTTCGCATTACTCTGCGACCATGTTTCCCAAAAATTTTCCGATCAACTCAATTAGAACAAAAATTTGGGAGTCAAATTGTATCATTAAATTGTGTCACTAAATTAGTTGAATTATTTTATTATCTTTTAGTTTTTGACACATGCAATGTCTGCGCATATAATCAAAGTAGTTTGTATCAAAGTAGTCCTAATACCTTTTGGTCGTGTTTGATTCACAAGACTAATAGTGAAATATTAATAATCTTATTAAATTAGTGTGGTATTCATTATCCAATTAGATTAATATCCATTGGATTAATAATCCCACCCCTACCCCATTACTAATAATTCTACAAATTTGTTGGATTAATTATCCATTGGATTAATAATCCTAAACCAAAATGTTAAAACAAACATAGGATAATTAGACCCACAAATTAATAATCTTAATCCCATGCTAAACAAAAAAAAAAAAAAAAAAAAAAATTCTAAACTCACTCCCAAAAATGTTTTTGAAACCAAACACACAGCACACTTATTCATGCGTGTATTTCAGAATGCAGAGGACAATGAGTACGGGGAAGGGGTAAACCCATCGCTGGAGTTTGTGCTAACATCTCGGGACATTACGGCCACCGGAGCTTCTGCCACGTTGCTTGTATTCAACAACGAGAGGGGTTTTTCTGCTAAAAATGTGGAGTCCATTTGCAGTATTGGTCGCTCCACCAAGAAAGGCCATCGTAAACGTGGTTATATTGGCGAGAAAGGTAATCAATCTATCTATCTACTTTTATCTCATTAAAATTACTTATTTTATTGTCTTCGTATTACTCTGCGACCATGTTTCCCTAAAATTTTCCGATCAACTCAATTAGAACAAAAATTTGGGAGTCAAATTGTATCATTAAGTTGTGTCACTAAATTAGTTGAATTATTTTATTATCTTTTAGTTTTTGACACACGCAATGTCTGCGCATATAATCAAAGTAGTTTGTATCAAAAGATTCAAAACACTAATAGTGAAGTATTAATCTTATTAAATTAGTGTGGTATTCATTATCCAATTGGATTAATATCTATTGGATTAATAATCCCACCCCTACCCCATTACTAATAATCTTACAAATTTGTTGGATTAATTATCCATTTGATTAATAATCCTAAACCAAAATGTTAAAACAAACATAGGATAATTAGACCCACAAATTAATAATCTTAATCCCATGCTCTAATCCACCCAATCAAACATGAAGGTTCTTTTGCTACAAATTCTGACTTGCTATTGGATGCCAGAATTTTGAATTTTCCTTCTGTTCACACTGAAAATTCTATGACGGGTTGGAAATGACTGTTGAGAAAATGAAAATAGGATGGTCTGACATAAAAAACTGTATGGTTTCTTGGCATAAAAAAACAAGTGGATCGTATGTGCGTGCCATCAAAAACCGTATTGTTTGGTGGGTCTGTTTATGAATTTTGTATGTTGAGATATATTGACTTTGTATTTAGTTATAGTAGTTCAGGTATTTTGATAATTTTTAATTACCGTACACAATTTGTTTGGGTCACCCATTGGTCGTATAATGTGTCAAACAATAGTGTTATACATTCATGTATCTAGATAGCAACTCATGTATATAAGTCTGTTAGTTTCTTAATTTTCCTCTATAGTGCATCGTTTCTCTAGCATTTGTTTGTGATCCAAGTATTTTTGTCCTTGTAGTCTTCTATATTTTTAGTGCTTGTTAAAATTATAGCAAACTGGCATTTCTTTGTGATCTATCAAAGTGTTTTTATCCTAATAGTCTTCTATAAATTCTTGATTTTTTCTTGAAGACTTGTTCTTTCTCTTATATTCATCAATCATGTAATGTTCCTCACATGACTTTTGAAGTATGCCTTTCACTTCAAAGAATCTGGTGATTGGACTGTTGCCTTGTTTGGACTCTTTGAAAAATTGAAATGTTTATTTGTCTATTTTTCTCTTGTTTTATTTCTTTCTCTGTTTTTTTGGGTAGTGACTTGTACAATTTAAATAATGAGTTTGATACCCGCCCTCCATTTTTTCTTTAATTGAATTTGTATTTGATAGAATCTAACTCAATGCAAATTGTGCTCGTGAATGAATAATGATTCTAAAACTACTAATTTTTGGCATTTCAGGAATTGGTTTCAAAAGTGTATTTCTCATCACAGCTCAGCCTTACATATTCAGTAATGGCTATCAGATAAGGTTTAATGAACAACCTTGCCCAGAGTGCAAAGTTGGGTACATTGTCCCTGAATGGGTCAATGATAACCCTACTCTTTCCACCATAAAGGAAATATACGGTGGCTCTGACTCTTCCCTTCCGACCACAACGATTGTGTTGCCTTTGAAGCTTGACAAGGTCCAACCTGTGAAGCAGCAACTCTCAGCCATTCATCCTGAAATTCTGTTATTTCTTTCAAAGATAAAGAGGCTTTCAGTCAAGGAAGATAATGAGGATCCTAGTCTCAACACCGTGAGTGCGGTGTCCATTTCAAGTGAGATTAATTTTGCTACTAAGAAGAACATAGATGCAGATTCCTTTCTTCTCCATCTCTCAGCCGATGAACATGGTAAAAATTCAGAAGAAGAATGCAGCTACCACATGTGGAGGCAGAGATTTCCTGTCAGGCAAGAAAATAAAGTGGAAAAAAGAATGGAAGTCGATGAGTGGGTGATCACACTGGCTTTTCCAAATGGACAACGGCTCAATAGAGGGAGGAGCTCTCCTGGAGTCTATGCTTTTCTCCCTACAGAGATGGTTACAAATTTCCCTGTTATAATCCAAGCGGATTTTCTTCTAGCATCATCGAGGGAAACCATTCTCTTGGATAACAAATGGAACCAAGGCATTCTCGATTGTGTGCCTTCTGCTTTTGTCAGCGCATTCATTTCATTGGTGAAAAGCTCAGAAGATGCACCGGTATCTAGTTTGCCTCGTATGTTTGGATTTATACCTGTCAACAGCTCTCCCTATCCGGCTCTGAATGCTGCGAGAGAGACTATCAAAGCAAAACTGGTGGATGAAAATATTGTTCCCTGCCAGTCGTACTTGGACCAGAAGATCTTTCAGAAACCCACTGAAGTAGGTAGGCTAATGCCTGCTTTCTGGGATATATTGAAGAAGGCAAGAAAGGAAGGGTTGGGCTTGTATGATCTCTTATCCCATAGGAGATTTGTGCTAAGTTGTTCATTCGATAGAGAGCAATATGATCCAGTGTTGAATTTCTTGGGAGTGAAACATGTTGAAGATGAGTGGTATGCAAGGTGCATCCCCGGTTCTAATCTTGTATTGGGAGTTTCAGATGAGTTGTATTTAGAGCTCCTATTATTTGTAGCCGAGAAATGGTGGTCGAATTTTCAGAACACCAACATTAAATACTTGCCTCTGCTGAAGTATGTGAGTCTTAACGGGAATGTGTCTTTGTATAGTGTAAGTGACGTACAGCGGAATGTGGGGAAGGTTCTTGTATCCCAGGAGCCTGATTATATATCTTGGCTGATTAATTGGAACAGAGAATTTCGATGTTTAGGAGGCCAGTTTTTTGTACCTGAATCAACACAAGAAGCTATCCAGCTATGTTCTAGGAGGCATACATTGTTAAAATGGCTTTCAGACATAATGAAAGTTGAGTCTGTAAACGTGTGTAATTTTGCAGCTCTTGTTACTAATTCGCTGGCCACTGATCGGAACCTTGCTGTTGCCTATGTTCATTTCTTGTATCACTCTCTTTTGGAGAAATATTTGTCTGAGCAAGAGATTGAAAAATTGTGTGCCAGCATGCCAATTGTAGATAACTATGGCCGAGTGATGGCATCAAGGAAAGGGGTTCTTGTTCCTAATAATGGAAGCAAATGGGTCAGGCTGATTGGATCTAATATATGGAGAGACGATGGTTTTGTTGAGCTCGGAGAAGACTACTTGTATCCGGGCAAATTTGCAGGTGTTTTTACCCCTAAATTTGGACTCATTCATTTCCTCAAAGGGTATGTTGGAGCTTCTGATGTCCCTGATATATCTCCTCCCAACGCAGTAATTCCTACAATGTCTGCTCTGCTAACCAAGCAGAACACTTTCTTGCTATTGGATTGGATTCGGACGTTGAGATGGAATCGGGTTAACATGCCTGAAAAGTTCTTGAAATCCATAAAGGCGGGAAACTGGTTAAAAGTCTCTTTGAACGGCATTGCTGGCTATAGGCCTCCATCGCAGTCGTTTCTACCAAGCTCGTCGTGGGGACAACTTCTGCAGAATGAATCTGTGCTGGTTGATATTCCGATAATTGATCTGAGTTTCTATGGTCATGAAATAAATGATTATAAGGCTGAGCTCGATGCAATTGGAGTGATGTTTGATTATGACGAGGCATGTCAGTTTATTGGGAAGCATCTCATGGCTCTCGCAGCCTCTACGACTCTAACGAGAATGAATGTGCTTTCGATATTGACATTTATAAAGTTTTTGAGGGAGAAATTTCATTCTCCTGAAGACTTCATATATAGTATCAGGAAAGGGAGATGGCTAAGAACAACACTAGGCTACAATTCCCCAGTTGGATCTGTTATGTTCAGTGAGGAGTGGAGAACTGCATCCGAGATCAGTGACATCCCATTTATCGATCAAAATTTTTATGGTGATGAAATCCTTAATTTCAAAAGAGAACTGGAGATGCTCGGTGTGGTTATTGGCTTCAATCAAAATTACGAGTTTGTTGCTGACAATCTAAAATCTCCAGCATACAACATCAGTGCTCTGACGGCTGAGTCTGGTCTTTTCGTGCTGAAATGCTTAAAACATTTAAGTTCATCTGAAAAAATTGTTAGTGCATTTAAGGGAGAGAGATTTTTGAAAACAAACATGGGCTACAAGGCTCCATCTGAATCGTATCTATTCAATCCTCAATGGGGTTGTCTTCTGGAGGTTTTCAACGGCTTCCCACTTATCGACCAGAACTTTTATGGGACCAACATTGTGTTGTACGAAAATCAGTTGAAGCAATTGGGGGTAGTAGTGGATTTCGAGGAGGCAGCCAAGGCATTTTCTCGGGTTTTCAAGCAACAAGCCGAAAAGGCTTCCATCAATAAAGATAATGTTCTTTCATTTCTAGCGTGCTGCAGGAAGCTAAATGGTACAGCTTTTAAATTCCCCGATGATCTGAAGAAATGTATTCGCGAGGTTAAATGGTTGCGCACTCGTCTTGGTGATTACAGAGTGCCAAGTGACTGCATTCTGTTTGGCCCCGAATGGAAATCTATCTCTCCGATCACTTTGCTTCCATTCATTGACCATAGTGACAATTACTACGGCAAGGGCATTCATAAATATAAAAAGGAGCTGAAGGGTATGAGAGTGGTTCTTGATTTCAAGGATGGTTACAAGTTTGTGGCTGCTGGCATTTATTTACCCCGTGATCCAAGCAACATAACTCCGACAAATGTATATGCATTGCTCGAATGTGTCCGCAACTTACTGCAACAGACGAATGAGCCTTTACCTGATCCCTTTCTGAAGAAAGTTTCTAAAGAATGGCTGAAAACCAGTGCTGGTTATATGTCTCCTGAGGAGTGTTTGCTGTTCAATTCTAATTGGAGTAAGTTCTTACAACCGGAGGATGGACCATTCATTGATGAAGAATTTTATGGCCCCAAGATTACATCCTACAGTAAAGAGCTCAATGCAATAAAAGTCACTGTTGATGTCAGCAAAGGGTGTTCTTTGCTTGGGAGCTACCTCAATTCCCATTCCAATTTTGCCACTATTGTTCGAATCTATAGTTACTTGAGAGAGTTCAATTGGATACAAGAGTCTGGAGATGCAAGAAAAATTTGGATCCCAAATGGAAGTGACGATGGAGAGTGGGTACAACCTGAAGAATGTGTTCTCTATGACAACGATGGTCTATTTGGTTTGCAATTGAAGGTGTTGGAGAAACACTATGACTCGAAATTACTTGGGTTTTTTTCAAATGCTTTAGAAGTTAAATCCCATCCTTCGCTAAACAACTTTTGCAAGCTCTGGAAGGTTTGGGAATGTTCTGGAAAGCGGTTGTCACATAGCGAGTGTTGTGCTTTTTGGAAATTCGTTATGAAGCATTGGAGCTCGAAAACAGAGAAATTTCTTGCTGAAAATTTGTTGAAACTACCTGTATTTTCAGGTTCAGATGAAATTTTGTTGGTTGACAAGCGCGATGTTTTTATCGCAGATGATCTTCAGCTGAAGGATCTTTTCAAACAGTCTTCACGCAATCCGCTTTTTGTTTGGTACCCTCAGCCAAGCTTGCCATCGTTTCCTCGGTTTATGCTGCTTGAAATTTACAGCAAAATTGGTGTCCGGAACATCTCTGAGTCTGTGTTAAAAGAAGTATCTACCATGGATGGTGATGGACTTGAGAAAGTGAATCCGAGTGAAATCTTGATTGGAAAAGGGCTGGTTAAACTGATTCTTGGATTTCTTGCTGGATTCTCGCTGAAAATGGAAGAAGAAAAGAGGCATGAAGCTGTCAGAAACTTCCTTGATCTCACAGTAATTGAGACAAACGACCCAATTACGATTTGTTGCAGTTTATCGCTCTCTTCGGGGGAAAGATTGAAAAAAGAAGCGAAGCCAATGATCCGTTGGGATAGAGAGAGTAAGAAGCTGTTCACGGTGAAGATGGACAGGTCGGGTGGACATAGAAAAAACATTGAGTATGCTACTTGTTTTTCTGAAGCGATTTCTGAGGGACTGTTGTGGGAAAATGAAGATCATATACGCGAACTGGCTGAGCTGATCAAATTGGGGTTCGTTTTGGAATTTGACGAGGGAGCGATTGAGTTCTTGATGAAGACACAGAATCTGCAGCTGTTTTTGGAGGATGACAGGTTCATCTCTTCAGCTTTTCCTACTGATGATTAGTTCAGTTTTACATTGCTCGTGTTTTGAAGTGCTTCAATGTTTGCTGGTTTGGATTATTTGTGTTTTATGTACTTTTGATGCTTTGAAGTGTTTTAAAAAACTTGTGTTTGGTGTTATTGTATCTAAACTATGTATTGTTGGGCTGCTTGTGTAGGTTTATTTATAAGATTGGAAGTTTTAATTAATGATGGTTCTTGGATTGCAGTTGATTATATATTTCATTCTTGTTTTCTGGGCTTTTAAATTTCTCTCTCTGAGTTAGGACTCAAAGGACAACAAAACAGATGTCTACAAAGTTAGAAGCTTGTGACACTTTATTTAGGATTAATTACACTTTCCACTCTTATAATTCGATCAGAATTTTACTTTAGTTCCTATGGTTTTAATTTGAATAATTTGGTCTTTATATTTTAAGTTTAGTTTTAATTTAATTCTTTTGTCTAATTTTTTATTAATTTTGTTTACATGTACATCTTAAAAAATTAAGAAATATTTCAAAATTATTAATTTTAATATTCTATTTAGACAGAAGTACTAAATTAAAATTGTACTTAAATTGTAGTGGTTAAATTGTTCAACTTGAAACTATAAAATAAATTTTAAATCTAAATAAAAGGATGGAAAGTGTAATTAACTCCTTTATTTTTTTTTTTTTTGAAGTTGTTTATTTCTGTGTTTAATTATTTATGGGACAATTGCAAAAAAAATTCTAAGGTTTGAGTTTTTTAACAAAATAAATTCTGAGTTTTCAATATATGTCAATTTAAATCCTAGCATTTTGATTTGTTTTCAATATAAATCATTTGTCTATTTTCGTTAAGTAAAAATGATGAAAAAAAGAATATTTTATTAAACTCAATGTAGGATATATAAAATGTTTAAAATATAAATTTTCATTGAGTTTAATTATTAAAATATCATTTCCGGTTGATTTTACTTAATGAAAATGGATAAATAATTTAAATTAAAAATTAATAAAAAGTATAAAATTTAAATTAATAATTTAGGACTTATTATTAGTGTCAAACTTGAGAGTTTTTTTTTTTTTGTTAAATTCTGTTTATTTATTTAGGTAGTTTTTTGGTCATATTTACGTTTTTTGTTTATGTTTACAAAAATTTTATAAATTGGTTTTTGCTTATTTTTAGAAAAATATAAACTACAAATGCGTTTGGTTTGAACAAAATATTTGAAATTTTTTAAAAATATAAACTAAAAAATATTTTTATTCAGGTCTAAAATATTTATATTTATTTTTTATTATTTATGACAATGGGATCATACACATTATAATTGAAAAAAATTAATTAAAAAAATTTATTTGAAAAAAAATTAATTGAAAAAAAAATTATTAGTCAAATTTTTAAATTTCTGTTTAAAAATTAACGTGAATTCATTTTTTGAGTTCACATTTTTTACTCAAATTTATGAACTGAGACAACTATTTATAAACTAAAAAAATTATCAAATAAATTTTATAACAATTTTTAAAATTTTTGTAAATATAAATTGAAAACTGAAAACGGAAAACGAAATGGTTACCAAATATACCATTAGCGTTTTTGGTGGGGGGAGACAAGTAAATTGAATGTAAGTTTGTGATGTTACCAACTAGAAGTACAACCATGTTTGTAAAATTAAACAAAAATTAAAATTCAAAAGAGAATTGATGCAGGAGTGTATGGAAGGAACGCAAACAAAAAGAACAATCACGAGAGAAAGCATTCTGGATAATTTATTAATAATTCAATAAAAGTTAGTCTTTCATTATTACAATACTTCTGTTGCCAACTAATTTTAAAATTCGGACAAATTATTTGGAAGTCCTATTTAAGAGAAAATAAGTTTATATAGTTTCACAACTTTTTGAATACTCTCAAAAGTCTATTACGTATTTTTCATCTTCATTTTTCTCTATGCATTTATTTTTCTTTATCTCTTTCTCTTTATGATTTAAGGTGACACCAGACCTTACTTCTTCCCTTTCTCTTTCTAATATATAGTCACTGGTTATTGACGATCATCATTGTTTAAGATTCATCGGCAACCACTGATCACCGACTCTTTACTTCACCCTCACCAATGACAAAAGAGACAAGTTTCCTGAGAAGAAGATGAGTAGATCAAATTTACTCAGATCTGATGTAGATCTCAGATCTACATCAAATTTGAGTAAATTTACATGAGATCTAACTAGATTTAAACCAAAAATAGTTATCAGAGTACAATATTCTCTCTATATCTGTTTCTTTTCTTCGATTTCTCAAATTTTCTACCTTTTATCTACTACACACTTCTATTTTCCTGTTTTAATGGAGAAAATTTTCAAGTTCTGAACAAGTTGTTTTTAAGTTTTAGTTACAAGAGGTAAAAATTATAAAATTTTACAATTTCAATTTTTTCATCTTTGAAATAAATCATTCTTTAAAACTGTAAAATTTTATAATTTCATAACATGTTTTCCAGTTTGATTAATAAGGATAATTGCTTAATAGAATCATGCTTTAAAACTATAATATTTTACAATTTCAAAACTTACTTTTCAGTTTGATAAATATTGGAGATTATTTGTTTAAACCCTACAAAAATTAAAAAATAATATATACTTTTTTTCATTGTTGTTTGTTGTTGTTATGTTTTTTTTTTTCCCTTCAGTTTATCAATATTTAGCACATTTTGCTATATTTTTTTACTATAATTTCTCCATTTATTCATCTTTTTTTTTTTTTCCCGGCAATATTCTGAACATTCCGGTGAATCTCCGATGATGTTCTTGACGTTCAATGAACGTTCTTGACTTCCAGTGACATTCAAAACACTTCGGCGATACTCCGGTAACACTTCGGCGATACTCCGGTAAACTCTGGCGATACTCTGACTACTTTCCGGTAATGTTAAATATTCTTGCGAGTCCCCGGTAACCGTTTGACGGAAGTCCGACAGTGGTGGGATGTAGCAGCGTTTTTAAAGTTATAAAAAAAAAGAGATTTTTTGATAACAATTAAAAATATGTATGATTAATTGGTACATGTGTTTTGTTTTGGGACTAAATAAATTTTAAATTTTGTGTATGAGACTTACTCTCAAGTGCCCCAATCCTAAACTAACGAAAAAGGAAAACTAAATCAAAATCAATATAATAAGAAAATCAACTCAATACACTTTGAGAAACCTAATCTATCTAAAATATTCTATACTCAAATAAAATATCCCTTAATAAAGATGGGATAAATTATAAATACACCCCTTGAGATTTGATAAAACTATGAATCGTCCCTTGTGATTTTGGAAATTACATTTCATCCTCTGAGGTTTCTAATTTTATAACAAATCGTCCATTTTATTAATAAATCATCAAGTCAATCAACAGTTTTTAATGATGTTAGAAATATGTTGGTAATTTTATTATTGTATAGGAGAGCAATTATGAATTTTATTTTTTTAGTAATTCTGTTAAATAAAAAATTCTAACAACGAGATATTTATAATTTTTCAAATCACATAAACAATCTGTACTTTAAGCAAATCTCAGGAGTTGTATTTGTAATTTATCCACAAAGATATAATAGCTCTAAAATCTTGCTTCCTTCATGAATGAAATTACATATGAATTTAGGAAAATTTAGTCAAAACCCCTCCATTAGACTGTTGTTTGGTGAAAAGGACAACCAAATTTATTTTGCTCCATAAATCTCATCAGAAGGAGGGTATATTTGAGTAAGGACAGAGTAAAATTTCTTTTTTTTCTTAGACGACATTGCCTATGCATATATATATATATATATATCTCACATAACTCTTTTCACAAGAAATACTTTTATTTTATTTTATACAATTTTAAAAATTTATGTATGTGTATTTTTGGTTGATTTATGTAGTATGTACTTTGTCTTTTGTAATAGTAAATGTTACTGTAAATTAGAGTAATATATTACCATGAGACAGAGTAACATATTAATGTGAGATAGAGTAACATATTATTATTAAACAGAGTAACATGTTACTGTTTACATCAGTTTCGACGGTATTTTGGTTTTTATTTTCTAAGAATTTCATAGTTAACATGGATTTTGTTTGATAAATCTTGATTAGAGAATTTTAAAAATACTAATTTTATTAAAAACTAATAGCTAGATCAAAAGTTATATTATTTTAAATTTAAAATATTAATAAGTGTACTTTTTGTCATTTTGGACTAAAAAGTTGAGGAAAAAAATATAGATGTTTGGGTTAACTTTTTGACTTTTTATGAAAAAATGTGTATTAAAAAATTGTATAAAGAAGTGTGTAGAATAAGATTGGAGAGGTGTGGGCCACAACCGTACAAGCTGCACAAGTGAAATGGGAGTAAAAAATTATTGGCTACTTTTCGGGCATTGCACGGAACGGTTTTGTTCAGCTTGTGTGGGTCATTACGGGTCCTATTTTGATAATTTAAACCGTCCAATGTGTATAACTCGTCGAGTATTATATGTCTATAAAAAATCACGTTGATTGGATATCGATAGCTATCTGATCAGATTTTTTTTTTTCAATCGTTAATTATAACACCATCCATTTGTTATACATAACTGATTTGATCATGCAGTTATCGATATCCGATCAATGTGATTTTTAATAGGCATATAGTACTCGACGAGTTCTACACATTTACGGTTCAGATTATCAAAAAGGGACCGGTGATGGCCCTCACGGGCCGAACAACAACCATCTAAAATTACACCCAATCATTTCATTTTTGTCAACAAACGCAGCACAGCAGCTGCACATAGATGTTATCAAAGTTGTACTTCTGTTTAGAAAATTGATTTTTAATTTTTTTTTGGTAAATAGCGATAACTTTTTGACTTTTTGTCTTTTTTAGGTTATGCCAAACCAAACCTAAGTATATTTTGGTAATAGTGGTATATATTGGACTTTTCAAAGAAATTTTTTTTGTACTTATCCTTAATACATTAAAATTTTATTATGAGTAGATTTTGAACAAATTTCCTGTTTTATATTCTATAAATGCATAACAATTGGTTAGTCATCATTAATAAGGAAGTTGGAATTTGTTAATGTCACTATTTTTTTCATCTAAAATGTTAAAATTACCCCATTTTTTAATGGAGTTAGTTAACCAAGGTTAGTCCTTATTCAAAAACAATTATCAAAGGTACCAAAGACCCATCTTTTTCTCTCCTTTTTTTTTCAACATTTATTTTAACTCTAAC